AAATTCCCTGGCACTGGTGAAATTATTCCTTTCTGCTGTTCTTTTGTATTCAGGCAGAAAATGTGTTATTGATTTCTGATTCAGCCACAAAAAGTGTGACTTAGAGAAAAGAGCACTGAATGAGGAGTCAGGAAATCTAGATTTTTTCCCCAAACCACGCTCCTTCTTGTCCCCTCCCCTTATTACTGTGTGACCTTGAACAACTTACTTCACGTCTCTGGGCTTCAGTTTCCCAAGTGTTCAATGAAAGGAGTGGCTGAATGTTCTACAACTCTATTTCCAGCTCTAAATCCAAAACCATCCCATCCCATCTCATCCCATCCCATCCCTCAAGATTTAGTTTATCTCTGTGAGCTCTAAAATTCAGGGCTAAAACTGGATTCAAATTACCTATTTTCTAACCAAAGAAGATCCTGCTTCACTCACTTTTAAGCCATGCAAATCTTGCATAATTGAAATGATCAGTGCTGCCATTGGTTGCTCTGGTTTAAATTATGCATTGTTGCTATTTGGGGAAAATTTAGACTGGGTCCAGTCTGGGATCACTGGCTGAGAACAATAAGCTCCCAAAGTGAGAAGGATAAAGGCCTCTCCAGACAGGATCTACTTTTAATGCACTGAGCCCAGGGTTTACAAAAAGAGCATTGACTGTGTACATTAAAGAACCACCGAAACAGCAAGGGACTGGTAAGTCTGCAGCAAATTCTCCTAGAAGCCACTGACCTTGGCTGCATTTCAGGGGTCAGGCATTCCCCAGGAGGGGCTCAGCAGGCAGTCTTTACCAAGGGCTTAGGAACCAATGAGACTTCTCGTCTAGATGAGCCCCCCTCTCCGAATGTGGGAAGGTAGAGATGATCTGCCCTCTGATTTGTGGAGATTACCTATGTGGCCTTTGGACCCACTCCAGCAGGCACACCTCACCCACAAGGCTGGTCAAAGACCCTGGCCCTCCGAGATATAACTGTCTCCACATCTTCTAGCCAGCAGTTCCTGGTCCCCCAAACTAGCTGTTGCCCTCTCTGTTTCCACACCTCCCAGCAGGCAGAAAAACAGAGGCAGCCCAGGCCACAAAGAACAATTTCAGTGAATCGTGCAAAGATGTCTTTTCAAAATACAGATCATAAGAACACACATCCCAAGTGCGAACCGCACTTGTCCACCCAGTGGGCCCTCACCGGTTGCTGCCGTACCTGCAGGCTCCGTGTTTGGTATCTCAGAAAACCTTCCCCAGGAAAAAGCCCACAAGGGACATGCCCTGGCCAAACTTAAAATCGCATCAGACTGCTTTCCAATAGAGGAGCAAGGTCGAGATTCCGGCCCAGGGAAATCACTGCAAGCCCTGTGCATTATTCAGACCCCGTCCCCCTTTGCCACTGTCCCCCCCAACCCCCCACCGATTCGCAGCACCCCACCCCCAGTCTGGGCCATCCATCCACCTGATTAACCCGCCCGCAGCAACTCCCAGCGCAGAAAGTAGGGCAAATGAACACACACAGTCGGTAAAGCAGGAAGCCACAGACCTGGCCAAAGCACCCACCCTGTTACCAACCCCACCCCGCTGCGCAGGGGGCAGCCCGTTCCTGATGTGGCATTTCGACTCCAGGGAAATAGACAGCTTCCTGTAATAATGCATGAATGAGCTCTGGCTGCCCAACTATCAGAACAGCCCATTGCAAACGGCAGCTGTTTCTTCTCAACTCATTACCTGCCTTGCTGAAACCTCGCCTCTTGGCCCCACAGATTACGACGAGGAGAGAAAGGGTTATTAAAAGACAGGCGAAAGAAAGCTTTAATTAAGGAGACCAAAGAGAAAGTACCACTTTGACCACAAAGGTAGCTCTTTAAAATATCGGTGCTGAAAGAGGCAATGTCAGAAGTACTATGAATCCAGGTAAATGGCCCCAAGATCCAGCATCAATCTAACAATGTATTCCTCAGGAGGGCGTGTGAACTTCCATGCTTCATCCATCCCGGTGTCGCCCTGTGGAGAGCCAACATCAATTCCTTCTCACCCACCCTCCATACATCAAGTCTATGCACTCGCTATTTTTTAAATTTAATTTTTGATTCGGGAGAGGAAGAAGCCGGCCTTAAATTGGTGCCCAATCCTTCTCAGACACCCGCTGCTGCCACCATCCCCACCCCTCACCCCCTTCCCGGCAGGCAGTATCTAATTAAAATGGCAAGAAAGCTCTGCCCCCTTCCCCGAAGGAGTGTGTTGGGATCGAGAGTTGGGGGTGGGGAAGCGTCGAGGCAGCACTGGGATTCCTGGTATTCTGATCTCAAAACAACAGCAAAATGGATTCTATATCAGTGATGTCTTAGTCAATACAGTGAAACGGCGTCTGAGGTAATTCACGTGAAGGTAAACGCAAACCAGTGGGGCTGGGGGAGGGAGGTGCTCTACAAAGGACTGGCCACAGACACGGGGAAACCACACACACACACATACACACACACACACACACACACGCACACGCACACACACTCCAGGGAGTTCCGGTCTGATTGAGGAAAAGCAGAAAACACATCCCTTTCACCTGCGTTAAGTTCAGCCATAAAACTGAAACATTACAGCCACGAAGTCAGAAAGCACAGGCAGGGCTGAGTTAAAGCCATAAATAAAGGTGAGTGGCAGACTGGCATTTGAGGGAGCGCTGAGAGGGCGCCGGGCGCGGGAGGCAGAAAAGGGGGAGGGGGAGGCAGCTGCCATCTACAAGACCAGCATAGCAATAACTGCCCCTCGGAGCGGAAGGTTCGGCTCCCCGGGGAGAGCCAGCCTCTCAGTGTCTTCTTGCAGGTAGCTGGAAAACGTGAGGGGCCAGTGCCTTTCTTCACGCTGGCATTCTTTTTGCAGAAGGGACAGTCGGGTCTCGCGCCTTGGCACCAGACAACTGCCCGGGGCGTGTACACACACACACACACACACACACACACACGCCTTTCATTTTAATGCTCTTACACCGGTCTACGATGAAACTGGCATAAGCTCCACGAGCCCTCGGGGGCGCCTCGGCCACTGCCAAAGGAAGACTGCACCGCACAGCCCTTGCCGTAGGGACTCAGCCGGGAGCACCTCACAGCCCCGAATCAAAACGCAAATCCCGGTTCCCTCCCCGTCGCATTCTCCCGCTGCCGCCCAGCAGCCCCAGCCCCGGCCCCAGCCCCAGCCCCCAGTCCACGCACCGAGTTCATTCACCCTGACCCAAACCCCTGGAAAGAAACCAGAAAACATGTCCTACTCACCCTCAGAGCCGAGAGATCTATTTCATCCAGGCTTCGAGCCGGGGAGTCGCTCGCCATGTCTACTTCTTCGCTGGAGAAATGGACCAAAACCACCCCGAAGCTGCTCCCTTGGAAATTCCACCTTGGTCTATTTCACTCGCGTCCTCATGCGGGTGCCGCGCCAGAGGCCCCGGGCCCAGCCTCCCCCGCCCACCCCAGCCCCGCAGCGCCGGATCTCGGTCCTCCGCGCGTGGGTCCGCCGGGTCCGGGAGCCCAACCTGCGCGGATCTCCAAGCCCGGAGCGGCGGTGCGTGTGGGCTGAGCGCCCCGATCGGCTAAGGGCGCTGGGGCTGCGTGGGTGTATTTAAATGGGACATGCTTCTTTGCTTGTGCGTGGATGGCGGCTGCATTGGCTGTTATAATGAGACACATCAACTCCTCCACTCCGCGGGGGGAGGGTGGGGGTGGAGAACCACACAGAACTGTCTATCACCGCTTCCTGGGAGGAGTGAAGGGGTGGGGGGAGGCGGAGGAGGCGTGGTCTAGGACTGGGGAGCGGCAGGCCGCGCTTCCTGACCCGGTCCCTCTGCACCAGCGTGGAGGGGGGAGGGGCGCGCACCCTTTCCGCCCAGGCTTTTGCGGGCTCCGCGGGGCGAAGGCGAAGGGCCGTTCCTGAACCTTGACTTGCTTATCACGGGGACCCAAGCTCTATTTCTCTGTGGCCAATTCGTGCACTGCAGCAAAATGGCCCTTCAATCGCATCCTGGGGTTTCTCCGCGAGGTTCAAATGCACTTGCGCTGAGAAAGAGCCGGAGGGAAAAAAAGCAACACCCTCCCTTCCCCATTAATTATTTGTGGGGCTGGAGTTACGCGGGCTGGTGCAAACGGTGCATATAAGGACTTGTGTGGAAGGAAGGGGATCCGCCTCCAGGCGCGGAGAGAGTGGGGGAGATGCGTACACGCACAGTGCACCCAGCCGGGCGCTTCGGCAATTTGCAGCTGCGGCGGGGTCGGGTCCACCCGCGGTCCCCGGAATGCCGACGGCTGGTCCCGGGCGCCGGTCACTCGCCGACTCGGGGTTGGGAAGATTTGCCAGATGCGGGAAAGATGGGAGATCTGAGCGCTCTCTTGGCATCGCCACACCCAGGACCTGCTCGTGTCGCAATTCCCCACGGAAACAACCGAGTTGAAACGAGAAGCTTGTTCTCTGGGTGCAGTAGCTAGAAGGCTTCAGGTAACTCCAAAGCCAACACTGGGTGAGGCAACGCCCACCGCCTCGGCACTCGGCGTTTCTTCCCGGCTGGTTTGCGAGGCAGACCTGCCCAGATTGACAGAGAAAGTTTGGCTAGCGGATAAGAAGTAACGCGGAAGATGTGTACGTGAGAGCGACTTCACTTCACCCACTTTCTCCTGTGAAGGTTGGATGTTTTACAGTGGCATATATGACCTTGCTTCTGTAATCAAGAGTGGGAAGTCACTTCCCCCAATCCCTGCGCAGCCCTTCTTCTCCCGCCTTAGCCACGCAAAATACATAGAAAGAAAACACTGAAACTGAACTTTTCCCCAAATACAGCAGTAGCTTTGAAAGCATTCTTTGCTCCTCTGTTAACAGCAGAATGTTCTTCTGACCCGTGTCCTGATGGTTTCCTAATCACGCAGTATGAATATCAGCTTCAAAATAAGGCTTATGAATGAATGAGTGAAAGCCAAAGCAGTTAGTTCATGGAGACTGCAGACATTAGAAAACTTTGAAACCGCATCTGGTGTACATTGTACTGTTTTCATAAACATTGTAGATCAGGCACCACGATTCGTGAAAATGTTGCAGCATCTCAATGGCCTCAACAGTTTGGGAGCTTTTGCCTTTGAACGTTGAATGTCAAACATTTGAACGTTTTATGCTAAAAACGCTACTTGACTTCTCATTTTTTAGTAAAATCATCTGGCTCGACATAGTATGCAGTAAGCCACCACGTCGAAATGAAGAAAAGAAGAAGAAGAAGAAGAAGAAGAAGAAGAAGAAGAAGAAGAAGAAGAAGAAGAAGAAGAAGAGAAAGAAGAAGAAGAAGAAGAAGAAGAAGAAGAAGAAGAAGAAGAAGAAGAAGAAAGAAGGAAAGATCAATTTCCCGTCATTGTTCTTATTTTTCTCTTCTGTGTCTCTGTTCTTTTGCCATTCATCTAGACAACAGGTTAGTGTATTGTCTCAAGGTTGAAAGAAGATAATTTCAGATCAAATATTAAGATCTATAAACAACTATTTTTTAAAACTACAAACATAAGGAAATATGAGTTAAATGTTTTTTCCATGGAAAGCCTTCATTTTATGCCTGTTTTTATACTTGAAACATCACAAATAGATCAACTTTTTTTGAAATTATTGAGCTGTTTGGACCGTGGAGGTGCCATGGTAATGGCATTAAATTCTACCCTTAGATTTCATTTTAGATGAGAAAGTTATATATGCAGTATGACGACAGGTGCTAAATGGAGGAGGGCTTCCTAAGAGCCTGAGAGGTTGATGAGACAGCCAGGGGAAGGCAGGGGTGTGGGCTGCAGGAAATAGCATAAAAGGAGATATTGTATTGTCAAAGGAACCTCCAACTGGTGAGGAAAGTGAGAAGAAGAAACTTGAACTTTCTCCTTTCAGTCAAGTGTTCCAGCATAAATTTCCTAATTTTTGACTGTGTCTCTGTATTACCTGTACTATTACTACTCACTTCACATTTTTTCTTACATTTAATATAAAAAGAAAACAAAATCACTACCTTAAATGGAAAGCCAACAACACTTGCTTCGAAAAAAAGTGGGGGAGGAAACTATTAAAATAAATATAATGGAAAATAAGAAATATTATTAAATTATAGCTAGCTCTCATTGCCTGCTCCGGGCTTCTAGTCTAAGGCCTACTCTATTTTTTTTCTTGGTGTAATCTGAAGGATTAAGAAAACTGATATCATTTATGTGCAGTTTGAAAACCTGCCAAATAATACAATATGCTGTTTACACCTGTGTAAATATGTAATAAACTATACAAAGCATGGATACAGGCAGAAAGGATACAGATTAACTTCAGGATAATGAGAAAAGAGGAAAAAGAAAAGGAGGCTCCAACAATGATACCTAATTTTTTTGCTAAAGATTTCTGCCAGGCATGGTGGCTCACACCCGTAATCCCAACATTTGGGAGGCCAGGGTGGGAGGATGGTTTGAGTCCAGAAGTTCGAGACCAGCCTGGGCAACATGGCAGGACCCCCATCTCTACAAAAAATACTAAAATTAGGTGAGCCTAGTGGCACACGCCTGTAATCCCAGCTTCTAGGGTGGCTGAGGTGGAAGGATTGCTTGAGTCCAGGAGGTTGAGGCTGCAGTGAGCCAAGATAAGCCACTGTACTCCAGCCTGGGTGACAGAGGGAGACCTTGTCTTTGAAAAACTGAATAGAAAAAGTGAATAAATAATACTATGCTGCAGGTATTCTTCTAAGCATTTGCTATGATCTGATGTTTGTGTCCTTTCGAAATTTAAATGTTGAAGCCTAACCCCCATAGTGATAGTATTAAGAGGTGGAGCCTTTAAGAGGTGATCATGAGGGCAGATTCTTCATGAATGGGGTTAGTGCCCTGAGAAAAGAAGCTTGAGGGAGGCTGTTCGCCCATGAGGACACATAGAAGCTGCCATCTATGAAAAAGAAGCCCTCGGCAGATTTCACATCTGCTGATATCTCGATCTTGGACTTTCTAGCCTCAGAACTGTGATCAATTCTGCTTCTGTCGTTTATAAATTACCTAGTCTAAGATGTTTAAGTAATTTAAATAACATGGAGAATAAATCCAAAAGGTCCTATTCATCTGATAGGATATCTAGAGAATGGATGGAAGGAAATACTCAAAAAATGATTGAAAATATTCCAGTATCTTTAAGTACAAAGCTCTCTTTTAGCTCAGCGCCAAATATATAGGTAAAAAATAACACACTTAAACACCTCATAGTGAGATTTCAGAGCACGAAGGATAAAAAGAAGATCTTAACTAGATTACCTTCTCATCAGCAACAACGGATGCTAATAGACAAGGGAACAGTATTCTAAGGGAATCATTGTGGTGGCGTTTTCTCTTGTTTTGTTTTGTTTTTGAGACAGGGTCTGGCTTTGTCACCCAGGCTGGAGTGCAGGAGTGCAATCATGGCTGGCTCATTGCAGGAGCTCAGTGAGTTCAAGTGATCCCCCCACCTTAACCACCTCAACCCCACCACCACCCCAGCACAATGGCGGGACTACAAGTGCTGGCTGCCATCCCTAGCTATTTTTTTTTTCTTTTTTTGTAGAAATGGAGTCTCACTGTTTCCTAGGCTGGTCTCAAACTCCTGGGTTCCCACCTTGGCTTCCCAAAATGTTGGAATTACAGGTGCAAGCCACCACACCTGGCTTCTAAGGGAATTGTTTTTAACCTGGACTACCAAACTACATTAGCACTTAAGAGAGGGTACAAAATAATGACAGATATTTTCAGACATGTAAGAATTCAGATTGCTGCCCATCCTTGAAATTGCTGTTAGAGTATGTCTTCCACCAAAGAGTAAACTGGATCCCAAAAGAAAGTGTGTGATAGAAAAGACAATGACAAAAGTGGCAAACCCTGTTTGTTGCCCACTCAAAGCCATTCTCTTTCTTCCTTACGAGTAAAACACTGATTTTGATAATTTACCCTCCTCCGTGTGTATAAAAAATATGGGTTCTCTCCAGCCCCAGAAAGTGAATATTAAATGGTCTAAACTCATCACAGTAATTCTATTCTCTCTCCTAATGATTGGCTTAGACATCAGCATATCATTCAACACTGACTAATGAGAAATGCAGAGAAGCCTGGTGGGGTTATAGAAATGGTTTTCCTCTTTGAAAGGTGAAAAAAGAAAAGGAAGTAAGGAACAGGGAAGGAAGATCGGAAGAAATGAAGGAAGAAGGAAGGAAGAGAAGACAAATCGAGAAATGGAAGGAGAAGCTCTTTTCTCATGGTAGCTATGCTGAAGATGATTTCCAATGAGCCTCATTTTCTGGTATTCACACCCTTCCTTGTGTGGATCCCTCCAACACAGAATACAGAGGACTTCCAAAGCTGGGTAATAAAAGGCATTTCAGCTTTTACCTTGCTTGCTCTCTTGGTTCACTTGCTCTAAGGCAGGATTTCTCAACATTAGCTCTATTGACATTTGGGGCCTGATAATTCATGTGGTGAAGAGCTGTCTTGTGCAGTATAAGATGTTTAGCAGTAACTCTATTTCCAACCCACAAGATATCAATAGCAACTTTCCAGTCGTGACAACCAAACATGTCTCCAGATATTGCTAAATGCCCCCTGGTGAGAAAAATCACCCAGTATAAAAACCAGTGCTCTATGGGAAGCCAGCCATCTTGTCCTGCAGATACTCATGCAGCCTGCTGCCATGTTGGTGAGCCACTTTAAAGTGGATCTCCAGCCCCAATCAAGCCTTCAGATGACTGCAGTCCCAGCTGATTCTAACTGCAACCTCATGAGACATCCTAAGCTAGAACCACCCAACCAGTCTGCTCCCAAATCCCTGACCCATAGAAACCATATTATTAAAATAATAAACTTTACTGTCATTTTAATTCACCTGATTTGTTATGCAGCAAGAGATAGCTAACACATTACTTTCAGACAAGGTTGTGTGAGGATATGATAGCTGGAACTACAGAAACCATCTTCCTAACAGGATGGGATGAGCTTCAGAAAAAAAGTAAAGAGATGAAAAGAACCTGGACCCTGCATGACATCATTGAACCACTACATCAACTAACCCAGGAACAACCTGTCTTTGAATTTTTTTTATGCAACGTAAGTTTTTCTCATGATTTAAGTCACCTTCAGTTCAGCATGCTGTTTTTTGCAGCCAAATACTTTCTGTTACATAAAATTTTAAATTTTTAATTGTTTTCATCATTGCTAGTTAATACAAATAACAATAGTCTCTAACTAAATGTTGTCACAGGATAAAAGGAAAGGGGAGCAGAAAAAGCATGCTAAGTTGTTTGTCTTATTTGGAGGCGTATATAGATAGTATCTCTAAACACAGAAAAATAGATCAATTATGCATAACAAACATAAGGTCACCACATAAATACAAATGGGGTGTTTAAGGTATGAACTACTTGAATGGAAAAAACATGGAACAAGAGTAACTATGAATTTAATAAAATGAAGACAAGAAAAAAGGTCAACCAGAATGAGTAGTGTGAAGGGCATGTTTTTAGAGTGGTGGGGCCCAGCCAGCATCCATTCTGCTTTTCTATACTGTGATAGGCAGAATAAAGGCCCCTGAACAATGTTCACGTTACAGTCTCTGGGACTGGTAATTATGTTACCTTACAAGGCAAGAGGGACTGTGCAGATGTGATTAAGTTAAGGAATTTGAGATGAGGAGATTTTCCTGGATTATCAAGGTAAACCCAAAGTAATCACAAAGTTCCTTAAAAGTAAAAGAGGGAGTCAGAAAAGGACTCAGAGTTAGAGGAAGATGTAATACGGAAAAGGCGCTGAGAAATGTAACACTGCTGGCTTTGAAAATGAAGGAAGGGGCACATACATCAAGGAATATGGGCAGCCACTACAAGCTGAATCAGGCAAGGAAGCACATTGTCCCCTGGAGCCTCCAGAAAGGAATGCAGCTCTACTAACATCTTTTTCTTTCTTCCATTCTTTCTTTCTTTCTCTCTCTATTTCTTTCTTTCCTTCTTTCTTTGTCTTCCTTCCTCCCTTTCTTTCTCTCCTCTTTTCTTTTCTTTTTTTTTTTAAGACGGAGTCTTGCTCTGTTGCCAAGGTTAGAGTGCAGTGGCAGGATCCTGGCTCACTGCAATCTCCACCTCCTGGGTTCAAGCAATTCTCCTGCCTTGGCCTCCTGAGTAGCTTGGGATTATTGGCATGTGGCACCACGCCTGGTTAATTTTTGTATTTTTAGTAGACATGGGGTTTCACCATGTTGGCCAGGCTTGAACTCCTGGCCTCAGGTGATCCTCTCATCCCGGCCTCCCAAAATGCTGGGATTTCAGGCATGAAGCCACTGCAGCTGGGCCCAGCCATTTTTTTTGACCACACAGTCTTGCTCTGTCTCCCAGGCTGGAGTGCAATGGTGAGATCATGGCTCACTGCAGCCTTGATCTCCTGCACTTAAGGGATCCTCCCACCTCAGCCACCAGAGTAGCTGGAACTACAGGTGCACGCCACCATACTTGGCTAATTTTTTAAAATTTTTTGGCAGAGATGAAGTCTCACTATGTTGCCCATGCTGGCCTCAAACTCCTGAGCTCAAGGGATCCTCCCGCCTCAGCCTCACAAAATGTTAGGCTTACAGACATCTGCCACCATGCCTGACCCCTGCTAACATCTTGACTTTAGCCCAGAAAGACTCATTTTGGACTTATGACCTACAGACTATAAGGTAGTAGATTTGTGTTATTTAAATAAAGCCACTAATTTTTAGGTGATTTATCACAGCAGTGATTTTTTAAAAACGAATACAAACTTCTTGTATACATTTTTCTTTTTAAATCATTGTCTCTTTTCCCTTGGTTACAGATTTTTGTGGCTGTCACTCAGGTTTTCTGCTCATTGGTAGACAAAAGGTAAGGAGGTGCTTGAAATTGGAACGGTGAAAGGAACCTTCACCGAAACCTGGAACTTTGGAAGAATGGCAAGACTGAAAATGATTAGTGTTAATTGATTCCAGTTGTGGTATGCTACCCATAAGGTATGACTAGAGACCATTCCTCATTCCTAGTTTGAGAAATAGGAAGCCCTGCTTCCTTGTATCTTGCTCATTTCCATATCTTGGTTGTCTGTGCTAGTTATTTATTGCTTTAAAACAAACAAACCACCTCTGAACTCAGTGACTTAAAACAGTAACAGTTATTTCTGTAGCTCGAAAATGTGTAATTTGGGCAGGATTTCGTGGGGAAGGCTCATTTGCTCCACAGAGCATGAGGTAGGGCTGGAGGACCCACTTCTAAAACGGCTTGTTCACATGCCCAGCAAGTGTGGTGTTAGGCTGTCGGGAGTGCTCAGCCAGGGGTGATGGCTGGGAGCTTCTCTTCCTCTCCAGGTGGGTCTCTCCACAATCTGTTGGAACTTCTTCATGGCATGGTGTCTGAGTTATAAGAACAAGCATCCCATGAGAACCAGGTAGGAGCTGTATTTTCTTTTCTGACCTAGCCTCAGAAGTCATGAGGCTTCATTTCCACTATTGTCATAAGTCTACGCAGACTCAAGAGGAGGATGCAGAGATGCCACCTTTCAATGAGAGGATTATCTAAGTCACACTGAAGAAGAGCATGTTGGACAGAAGACACTGTTGCAGTATTTTTGGAAACTAAAGCCTACCCCATTCTTCAAGCATTACCATCAATTCTCTGTCCTCAGCATTCTCCCCTTTTGCTTATGTTAGCCAGAGTTGGTTTCTGCTTTTGCTTGTAACCGAAAAATAATGTAGCTGGCATAAGCACAAATGTATCAGAATAAGTATAAATATTTAAATTTCCTTATTAAAAGACAGAAGCCCCGAATTTGTAGAAACAAAGCAAAACAACCCTAATAAATTAAGAATGTACATGCTTTTAAAATGTTCCACAGAAAATTAACAACATTGGACCAGGCCAAAAAGTACGTTTTTTATAATTTCCCCAAAGCAACAATCATACATACCATATTGTTAGTAGATTTCAACATTCCTGTAACAGATCCATCTAAATCTGTAATTCTCAATTATTGAAACTTTTTCACTAGAATGACTTTTGTTTCTCATTATACTTAAAGTTACTCCCAGAGGCCAACACAGGAATTCATCATCATTTTAAACAGCTCTCCTTTAGAAAATAAAGCTCCAATTTTCGTTTGTCCAATTTCTCCATCCTTCCAGCTCCCTGGAAGCCTTCACTGACATTCCTGCTGCCTCACAAAGACTCCATTTCTGTCTATTAGGAAGCATTCTTTATTGTTTTCCAATTGGTCTTCCCTCTTACTCTTCTTCTTCCCAGCTTTGTGCTGGACCTCAGAGTGCCTGAAGGAGCCTGAATTTCCATGTACTGTCTTCCATATAATGTGATCTGAGGTGAAGAATGAAGAACATTGTCCCTGGTGTTGAACTGCTTGAAGTCAAATCCCAAAATAGAAAAAGAAAAAGATAATACGATAGTTTTATTGTTTTTATTTCTTGTTTCTCCCTGATGGAGAGTTTTCTTTAAAAACCTAATGCTTTTGGAATAATAATGGCAACTGATTATATCTCTTTTGTATTAAATAGGCTTGGAGCAATTTTCTTAATTATCCAGCACGATTTAAGCCCAAAGGCAAACACAACACTTTACCTAAAATACCACTTTTACTAAAAATTTGGCAAGCACTTTCCAAACAGCATTTTCATTCTTTGAGAATTCCCTAACATGTATGCATAGAAATTTTAATATACAGCTGTAATCCTTCAATATTTATTGTAAAAGTTTCATTGTTTATTATTTTTTGGAATTTGCTTCATCTGCTTAAATCCTAAAGCGGTTTTCAATGTAGTTGTATTACGGCCAAGTGACTGACTTTTCAGCTTGCTTTTCCTTCAGTATTTTTAGGCTCTAACCTAGTACCCTGCAACAGTACGTACACGCCTAGTCAATGACGAACATACTGTAACTGAAATGATGAAACGGCATTTATTCTGATTATCAAGACCTGTCCACACCATGTCAAAAGCCTGGGATGCTTTGCTTCCTGCTGGCTATCTCAATGTGCTTCCACTTTTCCCATATAACTTTTTTACAGAACTGGGTCCCTTTTAATTTTAGAGTTTAAATGTCCCATACCCTACCATACACGCAAAATAATTTTCAGTTTTTTAATTTCATATTCATACATTTGAATGGTATAACCCCAGGTTAGCCAGAGCTGCGGGAGGAAGTGGGTAACCTAACTGGACCTTTACATGAAGTCATAGGGTAGAAAAAATTATCAGACTTTTCAAGCTGGACCTTAAAGATAAGCAACTCCAACCCCCTCATTTTACAGATAAGGAAACCAAGGTCCAGAAACACTGTATGACTTGCTCAGCGTTACAGAGTTAGCACAGGAAAGGGCTTTGGGAACTGAAGACTTTGTGCTAAAAAAAGAAAGAAAAAAAAAAAGTAAGGCCGTATTTATCAGTATTATCTCCCACCAGATTCCCCATATACTGTTTCCTCTACTATACCATATTGTGTCCCAGACATTTAAAGTACTTTTCACTTATGTTGTGCTTTTTATCTTAAGGAAACCATACAAGTACAGAACTTGTCGTATTTCCCTTAATATGTGGGCTGCCTGAGAGCTCCAAGCTAAATGAGTTGGTTTGCCATGCCTGGTTCTGGCTCTTGTGTGGGAGAAAGTGCCAAAAAGGGAGTCAAGAAGATTGGCTGAGTGGATTCTTAAAGCCAGACTCAGGGAACAAAGTGAGGAAGGGGGACTTGTTTGGATTCATTAGCCAAAGAAAATGGAGGCCAAACCTCTCCAGAAATTTAACACACTCTCATCGCACAATTACGTGGATAATTTCTAAGCTAGATGCTGGAAAATACATTCTCTTTTGATTAATACTTAAGACACTATATTGTGGTTGTTGTCTTTCTTTTCTATCATGGAGCTTTGGATTATAAAGATCCTTTCTTGCTCATCCCTTTTTCTTTAGTGCCTAGCATAATGCCACAATAAAGTGGTGCATATTTTAAAAATAAATAATAAATCAGTGTAGTGACATCAATAAAGGTAGATGGAACTAGCCACTTTAAAGCCAGAAAATTCTGGGCAAATCTTTTAAGTCCTCTAAGTGTCAACATTTTGTATTTGTTACACTTTTACATGGCTAGTTGATTCTGAGAATAAACTATGAGTCCCATTCTACTCAAAGCTGATAACAAAAATTAATTATAGATCCACCTTTCTCACCTATTCACAGCGTGTAAATTCATTCACTCATTCATATATTCATCCACAGAAAACATGGATTGAATACAGAGAGCATCAAGATGGTCTCTGTCCTTTATAATTTAGGCAGTGTTTCTGCAAGTATTATCTCTGGTGCACTGACATGAAAGCGGGGAGCAGGGCTTGATTAACATGTAGATTCCCAGAGTATGGGGGCCAGGGCTCAAGAATAAACATAATGACACTTAGGTAAAATTCACAGAGAGTATAAGAGCTGAGAGGAGTGGAAAGGATTGAGGGGCAGAGTCCAGGACGTGGAGAAAGGAAAGGAGGATCCTAAAGCTGGTTGGACAGAGGTTCTAGACCTTTGTAGATGTCAGCGAGTTAGTGATTAAGTGATGTTGTTAGTGAGCTAGTGACTTTTGTAGCTGTTATTAGTGAGTTAGTGAGTAAGGAAGACCCTGAAAAGTTGCTTAGTATCCTTTGTCTTCTACTCCGCCTCTCATAATGGAAACAGCCTGGCCACACCATGTTGGAACTCTTCAAAGCTCTCACAGAATCAGACAGAAGGCCTTTTTTGTTGTTGCAGAGTGCTATGGTCTAAATTTTTATGTCTCCCCAAACTCATAGGTTGAAATCCTAACCCCTAGGATGAGAAGTGGGGCCTTTGAAAAGTGATTAGATCTTGAAGGAATAGCCCTCACGAATGGGATTAGTACCCCTATAAAAAAGGCCAAAGAGATGCTTGCCCTTTCCCCCATACGAAGACACAGGGAGAAGGTGCTGCCGATGAGGAAGCAAGGCTTCCTCAGACATGGACCCTGAAGGCACCTTGATCTTGGGCTTTCCAGCCTCCAGCATTGTGAGAAACAAATGTCTGTTGCTTTATAAGCCACCCAGTTTATGGTGTTTTGTTACAGCAGCCCAGATGCACTAGGACAGGCTCAGCCAAAGCAAGAGTCAGCCTTGCTCCAAAGCTGGTAGAGCTAGCGCTTGGCTCTTCAGTGATCTGCTATCCTATTAGTTCATCCTTTTAAGCCATGCCAGAACCTTTTACCTCTAGCATAATACCTAGAACATGGGACATTTTTAAGGTGAATTCATGTTTTGTCTCTGTCCACAGACTGACACAGTCTGGAGACACAGTCATGAGTCCATTCTATGGTGACTTTTTTGTTAAAAGGAAACCGTTTTGTGTCACCTTTTGGCAGGTGACACAAATTAGTTCAAGCCCATCCTTCTCAGGTCATGCCTTCCAGTTGCTCTGTTTTCTTTTTTCTTTTTTTCTTTATGAGACAGAGTCTTGCTCAGGCTCGAGGGCAGTGGCACGACCTCGGCTTACTGCAACCTCCACCTCCCTGGTTCAAGTGATTCTCCAGCCTCAGCCTCCAGCGTAGCTGGGACAACAGGCACATGCCACCATGCCTGGATAATTTTTGTATTTTTAGTACAGACGGGATTTCACCATGTCGGCCAGGCTGGTTTTGAACTTCTGACCAGGTGATCCACTCTCCTCAGCTTCCCGAAGTGCTGGGATTACAGGCATGAGCCACCGAGCCCAGCCTGCTGTTGCTCTGTTTTACGATGGCTATGTCCTGGGAATATGAGCATCTCTCTGCTTGAAATCTCAGCCTGAAAGCCTTCTGCAGTTTAGGAGGAAAATTCCTTTGATGATTCTTTTATTTTTTTTAACTCTTATTTTGAAAAATGCTAAACATATGCAAAAGTAGAGAATGTATCTGACTTCCCTGTATAATCACCAGTTTCAACAACCATTAGAACGTCACTATCCTTATTTTTAACCTATCTCTCCTCCCCATGATTTTTATCTTTCCTAAACAATTTTAAAACAAATATTTGACATCATGTCATTTTACTTCTCAATATTTCAGTGTGGAACTTAAAACAAAAGTCATCCTTTGATGATTCTTTTATTTTTTTAACTCTTATTTTGAAAAATGCTAAACATATGCAAAAGTAGAGAGTGTGTCTGACTTCCCTGTATAATCACCAGTTTCAACGACCATCAGAACGTCACTATCCTTATTTTTAACCTATCTCTCCTCCCCATGATTTTTATCTTTCCTAAACAATTTCAAAACAAATATTTGACATCATGTCATTCTACTTCTCAATATTTCAGTGTGGAACTTAAAACAGAAGGAGGGACTGAAATATGGGCCGTGTTCAGTGATATGCTCCCAAAACCTAGAAGTTGGAAATGGGAAGTCACTTTACAATGGAGAAGCCTAGTAAACAGCAAAGACTGCGTTGGCCAAGTGATCAAGATTAACCTCAACAGTGGTAAGTCATGTGGACAGCATGTACCTTTGATATGATGTAATGAAAAAAGGACCAGTCAAATACAAATAACTTGTGTGGTTTAGTTAATAGCGATGTGCCTATTTTGTTTCCTTAGCTGTGACGCATGTACCAGGGTAATGTAAAATGCTCACGAAATGAGAAATTAGGTACGGAATATGTAGGAACTCTATACTGTCTGCAACTTTTTGGTACTCTAAAAGGGTGTAAGTTTATTCTTTAAAAAGGAAGCAGGACAACTACAGTGCTACTATCTCACTTAAAAAAAAGTTGCCCCAAATCAGGTCAAAGATGTAACATTTTTGCATGGGAGAATTCATAACCACTTTCTGCAAAATGTATATTGCACATTGTACTAATAAACATCCAAAAAATGCTTTGAGACACCACCTTTTAAATAAAGCTTTCAAATCTAAACTGCATACTAGTACCCAGGAGCCATCTGAAAGCCAACATGCTTTTTCAGGTGTGTGAAACATGCTGTCAATGTTGTGGGTTGGTTGTAGTGAAGATTTTTAATTGCATTAGTATCTCCTAACAGCAGGCAAGGTGGCTCATGCCTATAATCCCAGCATTTTGGGAGGCCAAGGCAGACAGATCATGAAGTTAGGAGTTCGAGACCACCCTGGCCAACATGGTGAAAACCTGTCTCCACTAAAGATACAAAAAATTTGCCAGGCATGGTGGCACATGCCTGTAGTCCCAGCCACTTGGGAGGCTAAGGCAGGAGAATCACTTGAACTAGGGAGGCGGAGATTGTGGTGAGCCGAGATTCGAGCCACTGCACTCCAGTCTGGGCAACAGGGCTGACAAACAAAGAAAATAACAAACACCTTCCTATCTGAATAACACCAGCAGTTTACACAGCAGTTCACATGCACCTTCTTACTTACCCTTCACAATAAAGTAGATATTATCATTTGACTCTTTTCACAGATGCAGAAGCTGAACAGGAAAGTAAAATGCAATGGTTTTCAAATGTTTTGCAGATTAGCAAATTCTTATTAAGTCAGGTATCACATAGACCAGTGGAACACAATAGAGAACCAGAAATAAAGCTACGTACCTACAACCACTTGATCTTCAACAAACCCAAAAGAAGCAATGAGGAAAAGATTCCCTATTCAATAAATGGTGCTGAGATAACTGATGCACATGGATACATATGCAGAAGAATAAAACTGGACTCCTACATCGCCAAATACAAAAATTAACTCAAGATGGACGAAAGACTTAAATGTAAGTTCCCAATCTATTAATATAAAAACCCTAGAAGAAAACCTTGGAATTACCCCTCTTGATATTGGGCTTGGCAAAAAATTTTGGCTAAGTCCCCCAAAGCAATGGCAACAAAACCAAAAATTGATAAATGGGACCTAATTAAAGAGCTTCTGCACAGCAAAAGAAACTATCAAGGAAGTAAACAGCCTACAGAATGAGGGAAAATATTCATAAACTATGCATCCAACAAAGGTCTAATATCTAGAATCTATAAGACACTTAAACAAATTAGCAATCAAAGAACAAACCTGTTAAAAGGTGAGCAAAGAATGTGAACAGTTTTTAAAGGAAGATATACAAGTGGCCAACAAACAAAAAATGCTCATCATCACTGATCCTCAGATAGATGCAAATTAAAACCTCGGAGAGATGCCATCTCACACCTGTCAGAGTGTCTTTTGTTAAAAAATCAAAAAACAACAGATGTTGGCAAGGCTGTGGAGAAAAGGGGACACTTATACACTGTTGGTGGGATTGTAAATTAGTCCAGCCACCGTGGAAAGCAATTTGGAGATTTCTCAAAGAACTAAGAGTTGAGCTACCATTCGACCTAGAAATGCCATTACTGCCATTACTGGGTATACACCCAAAGGAAAATTAATTGTTCCATCAAAAGGACACTTGCACCTGTATGTTCATTGAAGCACGATTCATAATAGTAAATATATGGAATCAATCTAGGTCTTCACCAAAGCGGGCTGGATTAAAAAAGTATGGTATTAGCCAGGTATAGTGGCTCATGCCTGCAGTCCCACACTTTGGAAATCCAAGGCAGGAGCATTGTTTGAAACATTGCTCAAGACTAATCTGGGCAACATGGCAAGAAAGACTACAAAAATTCATTTTAATATTTTTAATTATTTGAAATTAAATAATTTTAGAGTGTCTCAAAAGTAATTACTAAATAATTAAAATAATTAAATAATTTAATTTAACAATTTAATTGAGTTTAATTATTTTAATTATTTAATGATTATTTTTAAGACACCATAAAATTATTTTAATACTTTCATATTTTATTTTTAAATGGTTTTTGTTATTTAATACTTATTTTTGGGAAACTGGCAAGGCTGTGGAGAAAAGGGGACACGTATACACTGTTGGTGGGAGCATAAATTAATACAGCCACGGTGGAAAGCAGTTTGGAGATTTCTTAACGAACTAAGAGTTGAGTTACCATTAATCAAAATAATTTAATTAAATTTATTTATTGATAAAAATTGATGATTATATTTATTAATATTATGTAATAAAATAATAAAAGAAATAAAAGAATTTATTAATAGGTAGTTATTTTAATTAATCATTACTTTAATATTTAATATTTATTGATTTTTGGGAGACAATTATTTAATGATTATTTTGACGTTATTTTTTTTTTTTGGTCTCAAAATAAATGAAGAAATAAAATTTATTTTGCCCAGGCTGGAGTGCAATGGCACAATCATGGCTCACTGAAGCCTTGATTCCCTGGGTTCAAGTGATCCTCCCACCTCAGCCTCCTGAGTAGCTAGGGCTACAGGTCTGTGCCACCATGCCTGGCTATTTTTTTTTCCAATTTTTTTTGTAGATGGGTTCTCACTATGTTATCCAGGCTAGGGGTTCTCACTATGTTATCCAGGCTAGTCTTGAACGCCCAAACTCAAGCAATCCTCCTGCCTCAACCTCCCAAAGTGCTGAGATTAGAAGCTTGAGCCACTGTGCCTGGCCAAAAAAAAAAAACAACTTTTCATTTAAAAAAAAATGTGGTACATATGCATCATGGAATATTATGCAGCCATAAAAAAGAGTGAAATCATTCTTTCGCAGCAACATGGATATAGCTGGAGGCCATCAAGCTGAGCAAACTGACACAGAAACAGAAAACCAAATACTGCATGTTCTTACTTACAAGTGGGAGCTAAACAATGGGTACATGTGGACGTAAGATAGGAATAGGCACTGGGGACTGCTAGATGAGGGAGAGAGGGATGGGGGCAAGGACTGAAACCTACCCTTTGGGTACTGTGCTCAATACCAAGGAGATGAGTTCAGTCACACCCCAAACCTCAGCATCATGCAATATACCTCTAACAATCCTGCACATGTATCTCTTGATTCTAAAAGAAAAGTTGAAAAATAAAACCAATAGGAAAATAAGGACAAAGATAACCTTTGCTCCAAACTGCTGCAGCTAACCACTCCCAGGAGGTTCTTTTATGCACAGTTTAAAGACTAACGGTATAATTTGGGAGGGGAGGAGGAAATATGAGTTTTAGATTCAGACAAGCCTGATGTTTGAAGACCTGCTGAATATTTATGAGCTGCACGTTCCTTTGGATGCGTTACTTAACCTCTCTAATGCTCAGTTTCCAAATTTGTAAAATGGAAGTGGTAATACTCTAGAGCTCCTTGCAGGATAAATTCCTAACCTTAATCATATCTTTGTCTCTCCAAAGGGCTAAAATGATTTTCTCAAAATATTGAAAGAGGAGCTTGCAGAATCTAGTTCTTCTGCCACTCAATCTATTCCTTTTTCCACTACATCATGGGACTATGCTTTGTACTCCCAACCAAGTCTGGAGTGCTTGGCAGTGACGTATGGTATGTGCATGTCCTGCTTTTTTTCTTCTCCTTTTGGTTAATTTTATTTGGAAACGTTTATCAAACTTTTTTTTCTTTGTTTCTTGAGACAGAGTCTCACTCTGCCGCCTAGGCTGCAACCTCCACCTCCCAGGTTTAAGCGGAATCTCATGCTTCAGCCACCCAAGTAGCTGAGATTACTACTTGGGTGGCGTGTGCCACCACACCTGGCTAATTTTTTATTTTTAGTAGAGATGGAGTGTGTTGACCAGGCTGGTCTCAAATTCCTGACCTCAAGTGATCTGTCCACCTCAGCCTCCCAAAGTCCTGGGATTATAGGCATGAACCACCATGCCCGGCCTGTGCCTACCCTGCTGATGGTGTCCTTCTTTTGTAGTAAGAGCAGCAGAGTGACAAATTGAGAAGGAACATTTAAAGCATGTATTCTTAACCCAGACCCTAGACCCTCACATGAGCTTCAAGTGCTCCATGAATGCCCCTGAAATTATGGACAAAAATTTAAGATGTTTGCATATGTGCATTTTTCTGAGGAAGATGGTCTACATCTTCAAAATTATCAGAAGTATTCCAAATCTAAGAAAAGTTCAGAGCTTATGGGCCAAATGTGGTGGCTCAGCACTTTGGGAGGTTTAGGTGGGTGGACCACCTGAGGTCAGGAGTTTGAGACCAGCCTGGCTAGCATGGTGAAACCCCATCTCTACTAAAAATACAAAAATTAGCTGGACATATTTGTGGGTGCCTGTAATCTCAGCTACTTGGGAGGCTGAGGCAGGAGAATCGCTTGAATCTGGGAGAGGGGCTTGTATCATCTATTAAGATAGGAAGAAAGTAGGAGCTTGTTTGAGGGTGGCGGAAGTAACAGGTTTATCTTTGAACCTGCTGAGTTTGAGATGTCTGTGCAGTTGAAAATCCAGAGAATGGAAAACTCAGAAGTGGCAGGAGCCAGCAGCATACAGAGGGTAAGTGAAGCATGAGAGTGGACAAGATTTCCCAGGAAAAGCATGCAGAGAAGAGGTTTATAGTCTTTCTTGGGGGTAGGTGGGTGATCATCTGATGAAGTCCATGAACGTTTTCTTCAGAATTATCTTCAGGGGGCTTGCTTGTTAAGAAAATGAAAGAAATCAGGACATAATTGAGGGTTGTCATGAGGTCAAGAAAGATTGAGACTTAACTATGTTTATACAGACAAGTAGTCAGGAAAGGATTAGAGAAACTGAAGAGAGGAAGAATATTCAATCAGAAAACCAAGCCCTCGAGAAATGACAAAGAGATGGGCTCCCTAACAGAGCAAAAGGCAAGAGTGTTAGGCAAAAGCAGGGGCAACTTTTTAAAGTCAGGAACAAGGAAGAAGTGCTAGAAGGGAGTGCAGGTGAGCTTGTGGGTTGGATGCCGGGTTGTTGAAGACTTTCTTATCAGATCACTTCAGTGGACTCAGTGAATAGGAGGAGAGGTCATCTAATGAGAGTGAGCAGAGGTCACAGGTCTGTAAAATGACCACTGTAGAGATTACGTATGGAAAACACCATGGGATTTCTAGGCAGTAGAAGCCCAGCTTAATATGGGGACCAGGCATATACAATGACATCAACCTGGGTGATTCTTCTTCAGCAAATCTTGAGATCCTTGGTGTAAGTGAGAAGGAAGCAATGGTTCAATTTTTTTTCTTTTTTTTTGTAGGAAGGGAGGAAAGGAGGAAGGAAGGGAGAGAGGAAGGAAGGGAGGGACGGAGGGAGGGAGAGAAGGGAAGGAAGGAAATCAGGCAGTGAGAGAGACATTGTCGACCTGGATCTAGAGGTCTACAAGTTGATTTCTTTCTTTTTTTTTTTTTTGAGAGAGAGAAGGAAAGAAAAAAAAAGGAGTGAAGGAGAGGAAGAAAGAGGAAGAAAAAGAGGGAGAGAGGAGAGAATGGAAATGTTGCTTTATTCTAAAAAAAATGGGTATTAATAATGGCCAATCAATGTTTCATTTAAACCTATGAGTAGGTGTGATGTGGTATTGACAAGAATGTATATTTTGCATATTTAAAGTGGAGAGCTCTATAAATAACTTTTAAGTTTACTTGTTCTGGATTTGAGTTCAAGTCCTGGATATCCTTATTAATTTTCTGTCCCATAGAGTCTAAGTCTCTAGGTATCTGGGTCGTTAATAAGATCGTTAGCTTTTATTGTTGCATTGATCCTTTTACCACTATATCTTTGTTGCTTTAAAATCTATTTTAGCAGATACGAGAATTGCAACTCCTGCTTTTTATTTATTTATTTATTTTTGCTCTCCATTTGGTTGGTAAATCTTTCTCCATCCCTTTGTTTTGAGTCTTTGTGTATCCTTGCATGTGAAATGGGTCTGGATGTAGCATACGGTTGGGTTTTGGCTGTATCTTTTGATTAGGGGATTTAGTCGATTTAAATTTAGAATTACTGCCATTTGATGTTAACTGGCTGTTTTATCCATTCGTTGATGTAAATTCTTCTTTATGTTGATGCTCTTTACTTTTTGGCATATTTTTAAAAAGGCTAATACTGGTTGTTTCTTTCTATGTGTAATGCTTCTTTCAGAAACTCTTGTAAAGCAGGCCTGGTGGTAATAAAATCTCTGAGTACTTGCTTGTTCACAAAAGATTTTATTTTTCCTTCAGTTGTGAAGCTTAGTTTGGCTGGATATGAAATTCTGGGCTGAAAGTTCTGTTCTTTAAGGATGTTGAATATTGGCCCCCACTCTCTTCTGGCTTGTAGAGTTTCTGCTGAGAGATCTGCTGTAAGTCTGATAGGCTTGCCTTTGTGGGTAACCTGACCTTTCTCTCTGGCTGCCCTTAGTATTTTCTCCTTCGTTTCAACCCTGGTGAATTTAACGATTATGTGCCTTGGGGTTGCTCTTCTTGAGGAATATCTTTGTGGTGTTCTCTGTATTACCTGGGGTTGAATATTGTCCTGCTTTCCTAGGTTAGGAAAATTTTCCTGAATAATATCCTGAAGAATATTTTCCAGCTTGGATTCATTCTCTCTGTCGCATTCAGGTACACCTATCAAATGTAAATTTGGTCTTTTCACATAGTCCCACATTTCTTGGAGACTTTGCTCATTCCTTTTTATCCTTTTTTCTCTAATCTTGTCTTCTCGTTTTATTTCATTAAGTTGGACTTCAACCTCTGATATTCTTTCTTCTGCTTGAACAATTCGAGTGTTTAAACCTGTGCATACTTCTCAGAGTTCCTGCATTGTATTCT